GTTCTTCAGGGACTTCGAGCAAGACGTATCAGGATATCATCCGAGGGTGCTTGTGGTCATAGACGCTGGTCGGGACGAGATCGAGGGAGTGCCAGAAGGTCTGCCGCAAGATCCGGAAGTGAAGGCGCTGCCCAAGCATTGGACTCTGCTGCTGACATGCGGCAAGGGCAAGACAGCAAGCGACGAGTCGAAGCTGTTTGAGTCGCTTCTGGATGCAGAGACAGGGATGTTCGCTTGCAACAGACCGCTTGACAGCGTCTTACTAGACTGTGCGAGGAGATGCAAAGAGTCACAACCTTGTGTATTGATGAACATTTATGACATTCCGGAAGGCTTCTGCCTGGTGAGCGACGGCGAGGCTCTGAGAGACATCAGGAGCAGTACAGCTGCACTGCATGCTGCCAAGGATGTCGTATCGAGCTATCCTCCCCTCACAGACACGTCCAAGGCAGACACGTACGTGCTGGCTTACAGCCCTGAGGACGCCAAGTCTTTCAGAGACAAGGCGATGAAGGCGGTGAAGTATTTCCTTGGAGAGCAGCGAGCGGATAGTCCGCGGTGGAGGGTGTGCTCGATCGTGCTAATGTGCTTTCTGCGATATGAGGATACGCGGTTCTCTACCCGGAGGCTGCTGGCATACTTCTATTCGTGTATGGACGAATTTATAGCAGGCCCCGAGCTGGTCAAGGACGTGCTGGAGTACATTGGACGGAACAAGATCTCGTCGCCGTCGTTCGAAGCATGGAAGGCAAGTCAGACAGGTCGCAGCATATCGGACGACAAGCTGCTCATTGCGATCTTGGACTACACGATCAGCAAGGAGATGCGCAGAGTGATATCAGACCCAGATGAGCGAGATGAAGCATTGGAGATATGGAGCAAGGTGATCGATGGGTGCTTGGACCCGTCGGTGTCATGGGAGGAGGGGATGGATAAGATCGAAGAGCATCTTCGAAATAAGACTGACCTTCAAGGTGGTCAGGAGGTCTTGTTCTACTTGTATGTGCTGGAGAGATCCGTGGAGGTCGATTGAGATCGGGACTTGATGCCTTTTGACTCGAAGGGTTTGAATATTTGTTCTAATATTCTAGTGTAATTGACTCTCACACTTACCGAAGTGTCAAACTTGAGCTAATACATCTCGAGCTGACGTCTCAGGTAGATAGAATATCATCATTCACTACCTACCAAGAGAAGCTACAATTGTCTATGACCAGCTCGGCTCCTCACATCGGCTCCTGTCTCTACTATCAAGACTCAGCTTGTCTCCTTCTCCTGCCATGACATCTCCTTCTCGTCCCCGACAGTCCTTCTCTCTCCGCTTCAACTCACTCCTCATCTTGCTATCTTCATCTTGCTATCTTCCCGCATGCATCGCTATCCCCTCATGCAGTCCAGTAGTCTTGTTTCAGCTTGTGCGCCCATTCCACCATCTGCAACCCTCGTCACTCTCATCCTTTCCTCGCGACCCAGCTGACCTGAGGTACAAACGCTGTCTGACTTTGATAGATC